TGACATTAAAGATATTTCAATCTGTAAATCTGAAAGAACCAGTAAATCCCAAAGAATTTAGACATAAAGCATTGTTAATTGGGTTTACCAACTTGACTGACTTGAATAAGTTTTACTTTGAACCAAAACTATGTTTACAGTAGTCAAAACACTGAACTGAATAATTTTATCTAATTTTTTTAAAAAATAACATAGGGAAAAATTCTAAAAACTAAGGAGAAGTTATGTGAGTGCTTATGACATTCAAATTGTTTTTATCTAATTCAGGGTATAGATCTCAGACTAACTACAGGCTGAGAGAATTGGGGTTGTTCAGCCTGGAGAAAAGAAGGCTCTGGGGAGACCTTAGAGCAGCCTTCCAGTACCTAAAGGGGCTACAGGAAGGCTGGAGAGGGACTGTTTACAAGGGCAGGGAGCGATAGGACAAGAAGGGGGAATGGCCTTAAGCTGAAGGAGGGGAGACTTAGATTAGAAATTACGGAGAAATTCTTCCCTGTGAGGATGGTGAGGCACTGGCACAGGTTGCCCAGAGAGGTTGTGGAGCCTCATCCCTGGAAGTGTTCCAAGGCCGGGTTGGATGGGGCTTTGGGCAACCTGGTCTGGTGGAGGGTGTCCCTGTCCATGGCAGGGGGGTTGGAACTAGATGGGCTTTGAGGTCCCTCCCAACCCAAACCATTCTGTGATGCTATGAACACCTAGTCACTGAGCTATGATGTTGGTTTCCAGATTTCTTGTAGAAACAGTTTTGCTTTATACAGAGTACTTTAATAGTCACTGGAGGAAGAATTTGACCCAAAGTCTTCAATCTACATACCTTTGCCAGCAGGCTTATTCACAGTCTGACACTCAGCTTCTATGAAGTCAGTTAGGACACCAAGGACATAGAAGTCAGCATATCATTGCTAATATAGGCTAAATGTACATAGCAAAAAAGGGAAAAAAAACATCCATAGATTCTTACAGTGTTTTAGTAGTGCAAATACAGTTAGATTGTGCTTCACTTGCACTTTCTCGTCTAATAACAATAAAATGACAACAGACCATTTTTTCCTGGCATGTTACTTTCAATGTAGAATAGTCTCTAGAAGAGGTAAGTGTGAAAATTTTAAAGACCCATCTTTACTGCTTCCAGACAGTTTTTGATTCCTATATTTCTTCTAGCATGCTCTACTTTTCCTCCAGTTGTGTTCTTTCTAGGGACATCTCTATACATTTCAGTTGTTAAAATGGATGATTTAATGTAGCTTTGAATGTTTGCAAGGTATTGTGAAATGCAGTTAGTTTAGGATTTCACAAGATAACATTGTACGTGTTAATCATGAACAAACCAAGTATTGCTCTTCCTTTCTTGATGCTTGTGTCTGTGATATCTGCTGTTCTATAGAATGAAAGGTAAGTTTGACAAAAGGGGTGATGATAGAAAAAACTTAATTTTATGTAGTCTCACATTAGAAAAAGCTTAAGGGAAGGATGATCTGACTTCAGTCCTTAGTTGATATTTTGGATGATAGCTTGAAATATAAGAGTTGTTTAAATAAAAATAATTTCTGTATTTTCTGAAAGATATTACTGAAAAGCTGCATTATTCTAGAACCACACTACAGGTATTTGCCATCTTGTGTCTTTAACTTCATGGGCTCATTGCCTTAATTTTTATAGAATCCCTAAAATCTTGAATTGTTTGACTTTGCTCCTGGAAATCCTGTTGAGTGTGAAAATAACAAACTTTTATCCAATATTGAAATGTTAATTATTCATGCTTTGTTGGATTCAGGAAATAACTAACTGAACTTCTGTTGTATCCTGCATTCAAAAATACTTAAGAGAAGATTCACAAAAAAAGCAATTTAAATGGAGCCAAATCTATTAGAAACAGTTTTTAGAGAAACTGGAATCTCAATTCAGATACCTACCTGATCTGGTAAAGGTAAAGACAATATTGGGAATGCATGACCTCTATTTTGTTTTTCTTCTCATCTCAAAACATATATTGCCCATAGCTTAACCTTATTGCACGTAATTTGAAACTATTGTCTACTTTACTGCTGGAAACAAGGTTTCCAGCAGCAACAGATTAGACTAATCTGTACAGATTGATGCCTAAGAACCTTACTCTATTATCTGGCAAATACCTAAATACACCTAATGTCTCTTATAATGGAACTTGTCTCAAGTGACGGAAGTCTGACAAAGCAATTTAAGAGGAGTAGAATAGTAGCAGAATAATAATAGCACCAGTCCTAGTATCCAACTCTCAATTAGCAAATGTTACCAGAAGGATGATTGGTGCAGGGTCCTTAGAATGTCAAACATAGTGCTGAGGGGCAAAAAGTTTAATAGCATAATTGCATTATTTGCTTCATCTGGGCTTAGCTTGTTCTCCCAAAAGTTAATGCATCAACAAGTTAGAGAGCCTCTAACTTTACATTTATACCTATTTTGACCAGCGTGATTTTAAATTGTGGCCATCGCCTTCTCAAATACAGCTGATTTTTTTTTTTTTTTTCATTAAAAAAAAAATAGTGTGGACTTCACAAGATACTTCCTGATATTATGCACTTTCTGGGCTACCTTGGTAATACATGTAATACACTACGTTATCTGTCTAGGCACAGCCAATCCGAATAACAACAGTGGATGAGAATGTGTCAGAAGAGGCCACTATGCATGCTGCTCCAGTTTTGCATACTTTGCCTTGCAGTATTTCTGTTTGTCTATCTACCCTTCAGAACTGTGATTAGAAAGGTCTCAGTCTTCTTGATTCATATTCTGACTTCAGCTTTGTGAAGCTACAACCTCCTTTACTTCCAGCCACGTGGCCTTGCATTCGCTCCAGTGCTCATTAGACCCTGTGATAAGCTGATAAATTTACTAGTTTGAAAAACTGCTCTAGCAAAAAACCTGGCTAGTGGTATGACTTCTCACTCTTAATATTGGCAAGCTGTTACGTCAACATCCATCAACAGCTCCAATTTAGGGTAGGCTCAAGTTGATAATGGCCTTCTTGATTGACTGTATGGCACTTAAACATTCTAGTAGTGCTTTCCTGAAACAGGTCCAGTGCCTGTGACCCTAATCAGGATGCTGGGCTACATAATTATTTGTTTTAAATTGACGTTCTCTTAATTAGTGTCTCTATCTTAACTTTTTTTTTCTAACCATAAACTTCAGCAATGCCCAGTGCTCTCCAAAAAAGATGAACTATGCTCATGTTCTAAAAGCGGATTCAACTAATTTATACCAAAGAACCAATGCTTCCAAAGTTCTATTGTAATATTACTACTTGCAGCATACGTAAAAGCATAGTTTGAAACTTAGTCTTTAAATTACCAATGGTAGCACTGAAGCCCTGATTTAGAACGCCATTCATTAAATTGTCATGTAAAACTTTGAATTTGCAATTATTTAGTTTATCAAGTTTGTACTTAGAAATAGTAAGCTAGCACACCAACAAACTGTATGTTAATAATTTTCCTGGTGTGCGTGGGCACATCTACTTTTTTCTAGTTCTAAGTTTTACATTGAAGATGCTTCTACAGCAATGAAACCCATGACTTTTTATAGTTGTATGTAAGAAGATTAACACCATATTCATAACATTGTTGAAAGGAAATGTGGCTTCAAAAATAATCCAGTGTTTATGTGACTGGATTAACAAAAGACTTGCACAAAAGTAGTATAAAATAATTTGCAAACACCTTCAGTTTACCTAGCATGAAATTAAGCTAATTTTAAACAGTTGAGATTAACTCTCAGGGTTAATAAGTAATCACAAAATCCAAACTTTTTAGAAATTGGTTGTAAAATAACTTTTGTTTTGATTCTTGGGATTGACTTAGTTTGCCTATCAGTTGTTAGTTTGATGCTCTTTCTTACTTCATTTTAAAGGACTTAATATTACATAATTGGATGGGAAATATAAGGTATTGTATTTTCAAAAATACTTTTGAACAGTGGTCATTGACCTAAATTATTATTATCATGTCCTGCTATTTGTGTCATGGATTCATCTTGATTCAAAATCATATTCTGTTACTTTTATTAGAACTATTTAAAGTATCTGGTACTTATTTGATAATGGAACAGTAAAAAGACAGAGTAGTAATGATAGTTAT